CTTTCAGATATGCAGTCTTGCAAAGAGCTCTACGATTTCAGTCACAAATATATTATTGAGCATTTCAATGACTTACTTGAACAGGATGACTTGTTACTGTTGCCCTTCGAACAGGTGTGTAATCAAATGAACTAACGCCTGTGTGATTGCATTTAGTGCTTTTTTAAATTTAATTTCTTCATAAGAATTTCATATCATGCGATATTTCTTGATAAGAATGGGAGATTAAAAGTTGTTTTTAGAAAAATATATGCGTTGATGATCGAAGATATCGGCCAAGGTTGAATGACATACACCCAAATAGGTTTGAGTAAAGAATTGAAGGAGCGGAAGAACTGCATGGGAAGAGTTACATTCTCTTAGTCCGAAATATCAGCCTATTTAACTTAAATATGTTTAATCGACTGAGCTGAAAATTTTAACCATTTATTCACTTCTGGATGGTGGCTTGCTGAAGTAATAATCAGAACTTCGGTTTTTTAGTGGAGGCAATCAAGATACCTTTACTATGATCCACACTGAGCATGGATAACAGTTAGTAAGCGTGGCGGATCCGGCTCGGTACCTTTCCAATTTCAAATAATTTAATTTGATTTGCTCTCATTAAACAATGCTGCAAATGAATTGTATCTGCGTTCACTATCGGCTCAGCTCAGCATTATAGTTAGCCTTATTGAATTTGGCCCGTTGATGAGAAATGTTGCCGCCCCTTGATGTGCGCCATATATAAGGAAAATTGCCTTGCATGCAGCAATGAAGTGACGTAGTACGATTTTCTCACATAGGCTATTATTGTACTCTACACCAATTGCGACGCAAGAGTGCACTAAGTTTGTGCGGATGTATGCATTCCTTATAAGGACTTGAGATGGACCCACTTTTAATTATGGCGATCGATTCAGAATCACTTGAATCCATTTAAGTTTGTCCGTCAGTCAATCTTGTTTTTTTTTTTTTTTTCAGTTTCATGTTGGACATGTTGCGTCCTAAGGACAAACGCTATTGAAAATAGTTCGGATCCGTCTACTTTTTCGATGACTTTCCATATAACATCTTATATGAATAACGGTAAAGTGGTAGGATATTTAATGACGGGCCCATAATCATAAGTAGTAAAAGTTTTTACTTGTGTTTTCCAGGAAGAAAATTTTTCTTTTAAACGCCTAGCACTAATCTAGGAAAGCAGGCAAAGCTTTGAGATGAAGAGGACGTGTTCTAGTTCGATTCCTCTGCTTTATTGCTCTTCTTATTAAACCGAACTAAGGGGAGAAACTAAAATGGCTAGAAAAATGGTTTTCAAAAAACTCCTTTTAATTTCGTTGCTTTTTTCTTTGTTTGACCATTTGGAGCGTCACGAGATTTGCAAAAGAATGTGCATAACAAAATGAAAAAGGAATGCAGCAGTGAATCCTTGCACGTCGTTCATGTGTTCGCCGAGTTTGTAAACTATAATTTTGCTTTGAGTTTATCTTTTGAACGACCTGGACATTGCAATAAATATATCGGACATTTCTAAGGCTTTGCTTTTCTTTTTATTTTTACTCATCTTGGCGCGCTATTAGATCTACTGGCGCATTCTACTTCCACATTTCTGATTTATTACTTACTACTAACGCAATAATTGAGCACATTTGCTAAAAAGAAGATTATAATTAAAGGAATTTATTGAATAGGATCTAATCATGTCTTTATAGAATCGCAGAAATCAGATAGTAGATCCACTCTTGTTCTACTTCGCGCAAGTTTTTGACTTTGCAGCGACTGTAAAGCAAAATTGATTTGCATAAAATACTAGATTTAAATAAACTTTTTCAAAACCTATGTAAAGCACCCATTGAAATACAAACATTTAAAATTGAAAACTAGCTCTGTACACAATATTTTATATCGCACACTGTATGTTAGACATTATTTGTAAAAAGTTTGAAAGCATTATTTATTTTGTATTGAACGGCGGTTCGGCTTGCAGAAAATTTTCGAGATTCCCAATAAATCCTTATTCTTAGTCCTTTGGCATATGTATGCTCTTTGTTTTTATTGTAGCTCGCGGAACTTCAAAACGTCCCAAGACACTTTCGATCGGCGTATCTTCTAGCTAAAGACATAAAATCCGAGTTTCTTGTCGCATGACATATCACAGCATCATATAAATAATCATGATTTATTTAAAAATTCTCTGTCTTATATAATATTTTGTTATCAATAATCTTGACTACTATTATTCGTCATATATGTTTATAAAACAAATTAATGTCTAAGTCTTAAATACTAACAATAAACAAAGGCAATAAGGGGGCGCACTTCATAATTGCATTCTTTACTAGTGTTATTTGGTTGGGTTACTAGAACTGCAATTCGATACTTATGAAGTGTGTCATTCATCCTTCTTATACCTATCACCGTAGGATGTAGGAGTATATTCATTTTCTTAAAACGTTTGCAACATCCAGAAGGACGCGTCAGAGACGCCATAAAATATATATGTTTTTGATCAACATCAAATTCTACATCGATTTAACCATGTCTCTCTGTGTATTGTCTGTTGTAAGCGTTCTTCCGAAGCTGTCACCAGCAAATTTGCAACAGGAATTAGTAGTGACTTAAACTTTTCCAAGGACATGGCTATGCGATAAAAGATTGTATTTTGAAAATAAAAATAAGTAAGAACACTAGAGATCGGTGCAATAAAAAGTGGCTCCGTCTTAAGCCCTTCTGCGTGTTACATACGTGCGGACTAACTTAATATATCCTGTACCACAAGTGATGTAGGCTATAAAGGTCAGCCGCGCGCGCTCTATATTATAGAGCATCAAAATTTAGTCGATACCATCACATTTCATTTTTATAAAAATTAAATAAGAAAAATACTTTTATTTATGAATAGTGTTCCGATCATCCATTCGTATTATATGAAGAGATTTTTGCAAAGCAAACCAATCAATCACTTTATGAACACAATTTAAATCTGCTTGATTGCTGCACATGAGCGCATCTTGTTTCTTTAATTTCAAAATAACTTATATTGTGACTGTTTAAAATATTACTTTCAGATCCGGGAATTGATAAAAGACGAACAGCCGAGATCGGACATCGAGAACGCCTATAAAGTATCAATGAATTGGATTAAACACGATCCAGATCAACGAAAGGAACATCTGGCGGAGTTAATCAGCCTGATCCGTCTACCTTTAGCCAGTTCTCAATTCTTGACAGCTCACGTAGTTACTGAACGTCTGCTTAGAGATGATCATAAATGTAACGAATTTTTAATTGAAGCTTTAAGTATCCAATTAACAAAAGCAAATGCACGTGAAGCCCAGAACTTCCAAGTAACAAAAGTAGATGAGCCAAAATGTTTATGCAAAACCCAGACTGAAGAACGCAAGGAAACGTTTTATGTGTTCCTTGTCGGCGGTAGCAATGTAGATCGTATGTGTAAGGTCTATGATGTTTCGCGAAACATTGTAGTTCCTATCCCGAATATGAGCAAGAAAAGATGCAAAAATGGTGCAATCTCACTAGACGGTGCCATTTTTGCAATAGGTGGACACACTGGTACTGAAATAAAAGCCGCCGAATGTTACGATCCGATTAAAAAGCAGTGGCACGACATAACACCGACGAATCATGGGCATTGGGATTTTGGGATTTGCACACATAATGATCGTGTTTATGTTGTCGGTGGTGAGAAGAATTCAACTGTCGAATGCTACTGTAATGCGACGAACAAATGGTACCCGTGTCAGAGTATGTCCACAAAAGGCCACATTAGCACTCGAGCCGCGCTGGCCGAGAATAGCATTTACACTTTAAATTATGAACATGATGGCAGTACGTCGTGCATGCGCTTTGATCCGAGAGAGGGAGGATGGCATAAATTGAATAAATTAGAAATGACGGCTTATGACTTTGAACTCATCGCTCATGATCATACATTGTTTGCGATTGGAAGTGACCGTAGTAAACGTCTCGACATACGAACGAATCGATGGGAATTGATGCCGTCCATGTCCTACAATAGGCATGGTTTTTCAGCGATCATAAATGCGGATGACATTTATGTGTTGGGCGGGCGAGGAAAATCAAAGTTTACTAAATTCCCGGAACGCTACAATATTCGACAAAATAAATGGACAATAATCAATACAGTAGAAATGGAACACTATCTCGGAGGAGCCGCAATAATTAGCGCTTATATTCGTCTTAATTAAATAAGGGAAATCAAACGTTATCAAGAATATGTTTTGTACATTGTCACGATTTTTATCGTTTCTAGGCCAAATAAGCTAACGATATTTAGCACGTAAACGTAATAAGTTTATTTTTTTTTTGTTCTTTTTAAGTAATAAAATTTAATGATATCCAGCAAAAAGCTTCATTTCAATATGAATATATATATATTAGATTATATATACATATATGAATATATATATACAAACATACATATGTGCATACATATACACAGATGTATAATATATATAATATATATATATATAAAATATCATCATATAATATATATATATATATAATACATCATATCATGTATACATATAATATGTACCTACATATATATATATATATTTTTTTTTTTGATCTTAAGACTGAGGACGTGTGGCTTATATGTCTGTTTTATATACATGTTAATTTTATTTTTTTTAATTCAAAAAATACAAGACTAAGTAAGGCCTTTATATGTCGAGGCCAATATGTTAAGGTTATTACGAGATAGTGGAGGTGTAAATAGTGATGCAAGATTAAAGTTGTATACTTTGATTGGAATAAGATTATTTTAAAGATAAATATAAATTAGTGTAAGGATAAAGAGTGATAAAAAATAAGGAAATCACATCTGGTCGTAAGCGAATCTTTTACATCCATCATCCTCATCGTAAAAAAGGTTAAAAAACGACAGGGAGAAAAACTAAACTTTTATACTCCATAATATTGGGTGGGCACAATTGATTTTTTCTATTTTCAGAATAAAAGTGCATATGGCGTATGTGTTGTACTTTGTGAGTAAAAAGCAAAAAATACAGAAAGTAATAGTATTTGCAGTTTTGTTTACATAAGCCTATGGGCGCTTTGTGGGTATGCTGTTTTAAAGGTTTGTAGTCGATATCTGAATTTTTGCGAACGGGAGAATGTTTACTACAGAAGGTACAAGGTTACGCGTAGGGATAGATGGACAGACGAACAGAAAGACCTGCTTAGATGAATTTGAAGCTGGCCAAGAATTTTTATGAATTTTTTGGAGCTTTTGAACGATGCATCTATGTGTTGCAAAGATATTGAAGGCAAAATTAAATTTCGATACATTTTAATATTGGGTAGGCGTGTGCAAATTTTACCAATTTTGTACAGGTACTGCAGCATCATGAATGTACGTTTAAATTTTAGTAGATTTGTCTGCTTCAGAAGAATGTTAATAATAGACATTATACAGACAGACATGCTTAAATCGATTCAGAATGCTGATCTGCGAGATGTCTGAGGCTTCCTTGTGGCCGTTGCAAACGTTTCGACAAAATGAATATAATTCCCATCCTTTGGCGATGGGTGGAAAAAGGTGTATTTTTGTATATTAGAATTCAAAACGCCGTCTAAACGCAAGCTAATTAACAAAAAGATACACAATCAGTGCTCCGTGTAGCATAATACTTTTCGTTAACTTACGTTAATTCAATGCCATAAGATATAGATGCAGAGAAAACGTAAGCTAAGCGGGCAAGTGTTCTTCAGGTAATAACGTATAAAAAACGTAAACAAAAGGTAAAAAAAAAATTTTAACCATAATGTAAAAGAGTAAAACAACAGCTGAACGCGCCGAAATCTACGTAAAAATGTTAACAAAAAACAAAATGTACTTCACATACATATATACATACTATATTTTCATTATGGGAAGGCATTTATGCCGAGAAAACCAAATCACATTTCATATGGTTTTGGGTTAACAGTTTAATTATATTCTAGAACATCTCTTTCTCTTGTTCTTATCGCTATGTAGGTCAATGCGAAATGTTTTCTTTTTTCGTGTTTTTATGTTTTTTTCTTTTCTTTAATTTTATGTAAAGTTTTCCTTTTAGGATGCTGTTTAATTATTTTCAATTACATGGAGTGCATTGTTATGTTGCCTTTATTACTAGTTGTGGTCTTTTTTTTTTTTGTTCCTTGGTTCATTGAGCTTTCTCCAGTGTTTTCTTCACAAGAACAACAATTTCTGAGTATATTTTTTTTCACCTTTAATTCATTACACGCTATGTCACTTGTGCTGCAAGGTATATTACCTAGGTGCGGATATAGGTAATACCCAGATGGGTTTAAGAAGGAGCGTCTGTCTATTTGTTTGTCCGTCCGTCTGTTGGTCTGTTTTACTGCCTTATGATGCCTATCCATATATTTTTGTTCTGAAACGACAGGTCGTACCTCCTGAATTATTATAATACAAAGGTTAATCCCTTTACAAATGAATTTGATCCCGAATAATCGTTTCTATGAAAAAGAAGGCTCTGTGCCGTAAGTGAGTCCTTTGATATAAAAATTAACCATAGCAAACTTGGATGACGTAGGTCGGTTTCTTTGAACCTGACCTAGGTTTCTCGTGGAAAAAAGGATATAATTTTTTTTACTTTATTAGGGAAAACTTGTGCTAGGCGAAGTGTGTTATAGGGTATACAATGATCGGACCGGCTCAACTATAATGTTTTTGCTTTTTTTTTGGCTTTACAGTGAACTTAGTCGGAGGGTTCTCTGGTGTAAATCCAAGTGCGAATAAGTTTGCGATTTCATGTATTGTTATTAAATGAAGTATCGCCGCTTGACCTGCATGCAGATTTTCTCTTGTAATTTATATATTTTGTGTAAATATTTTTATATTGTATTCGAGTAGTGCGATTATATAGATTTCTAAAGAGAATAGTAAAAGACTTTCACTTTAAAGCCAAATGCATCCAGCTGTTATTATAAGATATATTAGAAATCATTTCAATGTCAATCACGGATCGCGTATCAGATTTTTTACGTTATAACGAAACAAAAACAAAGTTTCGTGAATATGCTACAAGAGAATTCGCATTTCTGAAAAAGGTGGATCTGCGCATTCCGTAAGGTATTCAAAAAAGACATCTGAGAATTACCAATTGTTTTGGCGAACTCTGCTCGACTACTGAACTACCTAACCAGTGATGAGACAAGTGAAAACACTGTAGTGGACCGACCACAGGCAACCTTTAAATATCCTATATTAACCTACAGGTATTCATATTATAATTGTCCCTCGGGCCAAGGCGTGTCATCAAAATATCTCGATAATTTTGTCTTTTAGATTGGACGGACGGACAGACAAGCTTAAATCGATTCAGAGTCGATCGGAGCAATAAAAGATAAATCTATCTCAAATCCTTCTAAGTATTGCGTAGATCCGCACAACAAACTTAACATAACCTTGTGTCACAACTGGTCTAAGATACTGGGAAATTCAGCCCAAGAGGTGGATATAACTTTTAATGCCGTCGCTAATATTCTAATTTCGATTTTTTTTTGTCTTCAGGTAGTTCTTTCTACATTTCATCAACCCTTTAAGCATAGCTTGTAGTTTTTCTCTGATTTTACACAGAGAGCCAGTTTTTTATTTTAAAGCAATAACTTTATGTAAAAATTTCTGCTTTAGCAAAATGAAAAAACGAAAAGTCAATCAAACAATGTTACATTGAAGTGAAAAATTAAATGCACTTGTTCGCTCACAAAAAAAAAAAAAAACAAAAATAGAGAGTCAATAAATCATTTGAAATTATGAAGCGAACAGAATGAAATAATAATTTCGATAAATTTACTTGTTTTTAATAATTCTCAATAGAGTTTCAACGCAAAATATATATGTAGATATGTATTTATTCATGTGTAATATTCTTTAACAATTTCGTACCCATCATTGAGGCACGAGGAGTATGATCATTTTGCCAAAACGTTCACAACACTCGGAAGGAGGCTTCAGCAACCACATACACTATATGTTATTGTGATCAAACTCTTAATCGATTTAAGCATGTCCCTCTATCCGTCGCTCTAGCTGCCCGTGATAACCATTCCCCTTGGTTGCAAAAGTGAAGCTATCGCTTGCAAATTTCGCAAAAGCCTTGACGTGCAGGTTAGTATTGAAAATGGTTCAAATCGGTCGAACGTGATGTCTACAGTGCCGCGTAAACTGTGAACACCACATGTATTCCATAAGGAAAAAAATTGTTTTTTTTTGCTTATTACGCATAAACTACAGTTGATATAGATGTAAAAAT